TACCCAGCCTCAGTTATTCCTTTATAGCAGTGCAAAACAGACACATACACCCAAAAATAGAGGAGCATAGAAGATGAATTTTCAGGCCTGTTTCAGATTCTGAAGCAAAAAGATTTTCTTCAGCAGCACCAGATGAAACTCTGCCAACCAGAGCAAATGAAAAGTGTCACCACAGTCAATGGCGGATGCCATATTTAAAAGGCTTTTGGAAGCTAGGTAAGAGGAATGTCCAACAGATTCCCCGAGAACCAGGTGCCAAGGGAAGGAGGCTCTGCTACTTGCCCATCAGGCCCACCTCTTAACTGGCCATTAGAGAGGGGGCCACAAGACTGTGGGCAGGGGAAACCAAAGCCCCAGGACAAGAATGGAGAAAACGTTGCCCAGTCTTGGAAAGGGACCTTTCCCAAGGCAAATGCCTAGAGTTCAGGGAAGCTTTATATGCCTCTGTCTTATTTTGCTTATGGGTAAGATGAATATTACTATTTCATGGCAGACATAGGCCATGAAGAGAATCTACACTTATTAACAGAGAAGGGAAGATAAATTGTGGGGAGCTGGGTGGCTCACAGGAGCACCCAGAGGAGCATTGCTCTGGTCCCATAATAATCTGTGTTCCACTGGTGCCCCACCCTCTCCAGCAGACAGCTGAGCCCCTCATGAAGAGAAAAAGAGGCAGGGATGCCCTCATGCAAAGAAGTATGGGAAGGAAGGTGCTGGGTCCTCAACAGAGCACCCACCTCCCCCACTCAATGCCCCAGGAGTGGGAACAGAGGTAGAGACCCAGCCAATTCTGGGCTGAAAGCCAAGGGGAAGGACAGCTACGAGGAGGAGAGGCTTAAAAGATGAGTGGCAGCTTCCAGTCAGCAGCATCTGCCAGACTAAATCTCTTGCACTCTGTAAATCCAAGCCAAAGATCCTGCTCTCCAAGGAGGGGAGCCCATCTGAGGCTGGTGGAACATTCCTGGAAGGGATGGATCAGTGCTGGGACAAAGCAGAATCTCTAAGGCCAGGAGTCATCCCTGGAATAAAAGGTGAGAGGACCACCAAGTACTCAGGTTCAGGCACCAAGCTTCTGGGGACCTGGGATTCTGACCACTCAGCTAAGTAGCTGCTCCAAGGGCCTGGGAGTCCAGTGCAGGTAGGCAATCTAGCCCCACCCTCACGCAGGTGAAAAGTTGTTCCTTTCTAGAAATATCAAGATTTGCTTCAGGAGCTGCAGATGGTAGAGACCATGTCATGAGATATTATGAGATCTGTCCCCTCCGCCACCTGTCCCCCACACATTACCTTAGTCATCACTCTCTGCTTCCTGGGCTCAGGGGGCATACACAGCAGGGAAAAACAAAAAAAAGAGGGGGGGCGGCCTCATGAAAAAATACAGTTATGGAATTTTTAATAGATCTGTCTAGCATACAGGAGTTTGTGAACAGAGATTCTTGCCTGCTCTGGTTTCTGGACCTTCCCAGATTACCATTAAAAGTACTGTCCTGTCTATGGCTTGTATGCTGTAGCAGATGCCTGAAGAAGCAGCCTAAAAGTGCCAACAGGAGAGAATGGCCACGGAGGGCTTCCTAGCAAGGTAATGTTTACACGGAAGGGAGGAGGGCAGCAAAGGAGCATCTTCCAGAGGTTACATGAGAGCAAGTGCACACGGCCCAAGAGATGGCAGACATTCAGACAGAGCTTGAAAATGAGGTGCAGCATGTGGAAGAGGGTTGCGGATGGGGTTAGAAGGTGGGAGGGGCCTGCTGAGCAGGGCAACCTGGAGCCATGTTGCAGCTGGAGGTAAACGGGAACAGTGCACTTCCCTGCACACATGATATCATGGATTTGCAATTGGGTAATTTTTTCCCAGAACATTAAAGTAGTTGAAAAAATACTAGAAAATTAAAAAGTAGGAATATTAAAATTTACATTTTTTATGTATACCAAAACAGAATTTATTATTTTACATTCCTAATCTTGATGGAAACAAATCCATCAATTAAAAAGTATGTTCTAAGTCTATTTCTTATCTCATTTTCAATTCAGAGTTGTAAATTACAATATGTGAGAAAGCAACTTTGAAAGTATGTGTGATGAATAAAAGCTTTAGCAAGAGATATAAATATACTCCCAAAATACTTAAATTTAAAATAATGTATTAATACACATTTTGATTGTTCAATATTTTTTAACTTAATAACCTAGAAACAAATTATGATTACAAATAATAAAAACATATATATAGAGGCACACATTTCTTCTCTTGCCTCAGGCTCCAATATGGCCTCACAGAGTCTTGTTGGAGACTGTTTTTATTTGAAATTGTGATATTTTCATCATCATGGATTTTTACGGCATTAATTTTTACTTTTTAAAATATTCAGTCAAAATTTCAATAAGCACATGAAAAGATGATAAAAATAATGAATCATTAGGGAAATGCAAATTAAAACTACAATGAGATATTGCCTCAGACCCATTATGATGGCTACTATCAAAAATATAGAAAATAACACGTGCTGTCCAGGATGTGGAAAATGTATGCACTGCTGGTAGAATGTAAAATGGTACAGCCACTGTGGAAAACAGTATGACGTTTTCTGGAAAAAAATTAACAATAGAATCCCCATATATGATTCAGAAATTCCATTCTGAGTATATATCCAAAAGAATGAAAAGCAGAATCTCAAAGAGATATTTTGTACACCCATATTCATAACATTATTCACAACAGCCAAAAGGTAGAAGTAACCCAAGAGTCCATTGGTAGATGAATGGGTAAACAAGATGTGGTATATCCATACAATGGAATATTATTCAGCCTTAAAAAGGAAAGAAATTCTGACACATATTACAACATAGATGAAGCTTGAGGACATTATGCTAAGTGAAATAAGCCAGTGGCAGAAGGACAAATACTGTATAATTGCACTTATTTATTAGATACCTAGAGTGGTCTATTCAGAAAGGTGACAGAAAGAAAGTCGAATGGGGAAACTGTTGGCTTAAGAGTGGTTAAGACAGTAAATTTATGTTACATAAAATTTTCTATATTTAAAAAATCTATATTCTTTATCTTAACTGCAGAGTTTTTTGTATTGGCACAAAGCAAGGGGTCATGGTAAGTCATACCCTGAAAGCCAATTACCTGGAATCCAAAAGGTCAATAATATCAGGAAATTCCTTCAGATTGCCAGGACAGTCCTCTGAGCTATGCTTCTCCAATCCCTTGCTTGAGAGTCCCTATTTTCTATACAGTAGAGGGGGAAATAATCTAAGAAGTCACTCCCCCACCAAACAAGAGGGTGGCATGAGGAAAGTGATGCTGGAAAATGCTAGAAACACCTGATGTGGCAATGGAGAGAGATGTGATCAGGTAAAGGGAAGAAACCTACCTCGGAGGCCCAGGTGAGGTGGGATATCACACATTTTCCTAATCGAAACAGTCGGCCAAGGTTTCTGGGCAGTTTCTGAATGGGAGAGGTTGAAATGTTGGCATTTCTGGGACATTGTGATGGACAGAGGAGACAAGATCACGTACTTAGGATTTGGGACTCTTCCCCCCAAATTCAGATGTGATCACTGAAATGGATTGAGAACTGCAATCCATGCTGAGCATTTTATTCTAAGAAAAATGTTTTTGTATGTAATTTGCATGCTTCAAAGGGTTGGTAAGATGGTAGTTGCTGAAAATGTAAGCTATGCAGTTTGTATTTCCCTTTATAACTAATTTGCTAAGGAATCCAAAGACCAAGACTAAACTTCATTTCCAGTAATTGGCTCACCTTTGGTTGCTAGTAACATCTCACATTCTTTGCCCTGATTAAATCATTGCCCACTAGGCGTAATCTTGTAAATTACTTTCAATAGGCATGACATACATCCTGAATTAATTTCTTCTTAGATTAGCATCGATCTTGCCTATAAGTTGGCATTTTCTCAAATTCTGTGGAGATGTCCCCTTCATAATTGGAACAAAGGTGTCGATTACCTGAAGTAGTGCCTCCAGTGAACTCTATGGGAACTTCTCCCCTCCTCTGCTTGGGCACCAAGAATTTGAATCTACAAAGTGTGTGTCAGGAACAGGCTTATGACTCATCCTCACTTTCATCTCCATCTGAAAACCTAACCTTCTCCTGGGAGCCTGTGCAACACCATTACGTAAATCTTTCAAGCAGCTGTTGCTACAGCTTCTCTCTTATCCCCAAAGAGTAGCCTCTGCCTTATAATGAAGCTGGAAATCTGTTTGATAATTTAAAAAGAGGGAGAGTGGGGGTGGGCTTTCTTAGACTTCTAACGACCCACCAGGTCACTTCATCCGACAATGGAACAGGAACTTTCTTCCCTTCTTTTTTTAGTGGGTTTATTCAGTCTTCAGCACTTTGCAATTTCATCAGCTTAGAAGAAACTTACATCTCCTGGCTTTCTGAGCAACCTCCACTGGTTTTCTGAATCACAGCCTATTTCCCGCTGATTTGGTGGCCTCATTCTCTGTGCTTATTAAGTTGTCTGATCACATTCTTTGAATGAAAGGGGAGGTTCATTTCGCCTCCGTAAAGGTTCCTGTGCGGCCTCAGTCCTCACAAGAGGCAGGCCAGTCCCTCAAACTGCATCCACAGGCTCTGCTTTCATCACAAGGAGGACAGCAGAAAGCCCCACCCCCAAGAACTGCAGGCACCCTCTCGGCAGCCTCCCAACTAATCCACACAGCAGAATGGCTCTGCCTAGCCAAGAACTAACTCCAGCACTGACATGCCCAGGACCACATCCCCAGAAGGTTCTCAAGTTAGTAAATAGACATCACTTAGGCCATTTTCCTGGGTTTTAAACTTATGCCTGGTTGCGAGGCTGACAAATTCACTGCTAATATTCATTAACTCTGCTCTTCCACCACATTAATAATAATATACAAAAAACATGGTGAGTCTCTCCCTTGTACTTTACTTCCTAATGATCCACATCCTCTGAGGCTACTCGGGACATAAGCTACGCCACTTGTTTTGAATTCCAGGTACCTGGAGGGAGTTTTCCTTTCAGTTTCCTTGAATTCCAAGTCATCACATCATCACCATCCTTTGTGGAGAATGCAGGAAATTCTACACACTCTGTTCTCTCGGCAAATGCGTGGAATCTGAAACATGAAGAGATGCTCATCAGGAAGGTAGTACGCAGGTGTCCGTGCATGCCTGTTCCTTCTCCTGGGACTGAACATGCTCTTCTGTGGCACTGGACATCTTCATCTTCTTAGCCGTGGTCACTTCTTCTCCCTGCACGTTGTCAATTCCACAAGCGAGAAACAGGGAGGCAGAATAGCACAGAGAATTATGAGTGATGTGGGATTTTTAATTGACAACTTACTCTTTCATTAGAGGGTAAATTAGCTCTGTCTCTTGGTCCTGGGAAAATGACACTCTATGCTTATATTCTTTCTCTTGCTCCCAGTTATCCGTCATGTCAACACAGCTTTAACAAGCCAGGGGTCTAATGAGGGGCCCCAGTAGTACCCATCTGTGGGTTCAGTGAGGACAGCTCATGACGCAGACAGCATTGCCTAATTTGCCTGCTGCTGATGGGCATCAATCAACTTTAACTTCCCCAGGAGCCAAGCTTAAGCACGAATGAGAAGCATTTCTGTGTGGGCAAGTTTTTAGGGCTTGTCTTTTAAAAGCATGGTCCAAGGAGCAGCAGGTTAGGAATACACACTCCCGGGCCCCCGCCCAGCCCTGTGAAGTCCAAATATCCATTTAACACGGTTCCTAGGGGGCTGACAGGCACATGAAAGTTTGCAAGCACTGATGTAGTGCACAGGTGATCGGCTAAGTCACACCCTTGAAGCTACTTAACTGAATTCAAAAAGTCAATAAAGAGCAGGACGTTTCTTTCAGGCGGGCAGAGGAAGTCACAAGTAATGCTCCTCCGGCCCTGTAGGAGTTCCACCTCTTCCTAGCGCCACACACTGAACTCAGAGAAAGTCCCAAAGCACCGCTCAGGATGGGAATAGTGGGAAAAGTCTAGAGGCCTCACCTCAGCTACGGAAAGCCTCTGTCTCTTCCTCAACAGTTTCAGATGAGACTGGAAAAATGACTCGACGGCAATTAAAAAGTCAGCCTCATTCTGGTGGCCCTTCCTAAAGCCACTGGACTCTTAGCCCGGTCATACTCAACTCCTGCAGGAGCTTCATCCAGAGCAGAGATGTCCAGCTCCCTTGCCCTACAGGGCAAGACAGGTGAGGTTTGCCCCAGCAGGCCCCAAGCCCTGAACAGGGCAGAAGTTTCCTCTGGTTGATACAGTCTCACTTGTATGGAAGCAACTCACTGTTATGACAGACTGTTTGAGCCTTGGAGCACAGCACTGTGCTTGGACTGGTGGTTCTACCCAGACACAGCCTCTGGCACAGGGGAAGCCAGAGTCCACTGGAGGGTCACCTGCCCAGGCAGCCTCCTGCAACGTGAGCCACTCAGGACATGCCACTTCCAGCTGGAGAATAACTGCCCTCAAGCTGGGGCCCCACAGCCGAAAGTGTACCAAGGCCAACCTGAAGCCACGGAGCGTCCAGGGCAGGGAGTGGAGCAGGAAGGAGCACTATCTGTGATGGGTTAGGCTTGCCTGCAAAGGCCCAGAATGTGAACAGGATGGTACATCAATACCTCATCCTTATCTGCAAAACCCATCTCCACACAGTGCCTGGCCTGTCAGTCAATAGCTGAGCCACAGCATCTCTCACAGAAAATTCTTCCCTGGGCTCTAGCATGCCCAGATCAGCTAATCAGAGAACAGCAAGACAGGTGACTGGCCAGTTGCCTCTTCTCTTTCTACTAGTGAGGTTAGGGGAGGGAGCCCCCTTCTGTACTTAAGGGCCCAGGAACCCAAAATGGAAGCCACATACCTGATGTTAGAAGATTTCAAAGTGCTGTAAGAGCAGCCAGGGCAATGGTCCTTAGAGTCCCAAAGTCTTGTTAACAATGGCAATTCCTAGCCCTCCTCAGACCCTGAACATTAGAATTTCTGGGGCTGTGGCTAAAAAATTTGCATTTCAATCAAGCTCTCTGGGCAGTTATTAGGCAAAGTGATGGGAAGCATGCATATTGGGCTCTCTCTCTGACATGGAATGAGCTGGCAAGGTAAAGCCTGGCCTCTGTGTCATTAACAATCTCCCCAGTGACTGTGATGAGCACCTACACTTAGGAACAAGATACCATCTCACCCTGTTAGGAGGGCTATTATCAAAGAGAAAAAATAACAGATGCTGGTGAGGGGGCAGAAAAAGGGAAGTCTTATAGATTATTGGTGGGAATGTAAATTAGTACAGCCATTATAGGAAAGAATGTGGAGGTTTCTCAAAAAATTAAAAATAGAACTACCATACAATCCAACAATCCCACTACCAGGTATTTACCCAAAGAAAAGGAAGTGAGCATATCAAAGGGATATCTGCACCCTGTGTTTATTATAGCATTATTCACAACCGTCAAGATGTGGAATCAACCTAAGAGTCCATCCAACGGCTAAAGAAAGGTGATAGATACATAATAAATACTATTCAGCCACAAAAAGAAGGAAGTCCTGTCATTTGCAGCAACATGGATGGAAATGGATATCATTATATTACAGGAAATAAGCCAGGTATAAAAAGAAAAATATCATGAGTTCTCACTCATGGGCAAGAGGTGGAAAAGTTGATCTCATGAAGATGAGAGTAGAATGACAGATACCAGTGGCTGGGAGAGGTGTGAGGATCGGGGGATAAAAACAGGTTGGTTAATGGGTACAGACATACAGTGAGATAGAAGGAGTAGGTTCTAAGGTTCCGATGGTAAAGTGGGTGGCTATCGTTAACAACAGTATATTTTATATTTCAAAATAGCCAGAAGGGGGGACTTAAGATGTTCTCAACACATAGAAATGATAAAGAAGGTGATGGGCACCCTAAATCCCAACTTGATCATTCTATATTCTATGCATGCAACAGAATATCACATTTTCCCTATAAATATGTACAAATATGTATCAATTTAAAAAATTTTAAAGAACAAGTGCTCTGGGAAGATCTTGTACCCATTTCAAGGAGAACTTAGGAAGGATTTTATAATTCTCCTTGTAACCACAGAAGTAGCTGGTCTTTCTCTATGAGGGACCTAAATTTATCCACACACACATACAGACCCAGGGTGCAGGGACATATGTTTTAAAATGCCCGTTTTCCTATTATTCATGTATTGTGAGGCCAACAGATAAGCCTATTGCCATTGAAAAGATAGTTTGTTACTCAGTTCCACTCCGAACTGAACTATGCTCCCCCAACCCCAAGCCAAGAAATTTGTATGTTGAAGCCCTAATTTCCAATGTGACTGTTTTTGGAGATAGAACAGGAGGTAATAAAGGTTAAATGAGGTCATAGGGCTGCCCTGATTCCATAGGATGAGTGACCTTATAGAAAGAAGAAGAGATACCAGTGAGTGCTCACACACTCTCTCTCTCTCCATTATGTGAGGACCGAGTGAGAAGGCAGCTGCCTACAAGGCAAGGAGAGAGCCCTCACCAGAAACTGAATTCGCCTTCACCTAGTACCTCCCAGCCTCTAGAACTGTAAGAAACAAATACAGTACTTGTTTAAGCCACCCAGTCTGTGGCAATTTGTTGACAGCCCAAGCTGACTAGCGCAGCTCCCAGAAGAAGAGAGGGGCACAGCGCTTGTCGGTTGGTTTGCATATGAAAGTGCACCCCAGTGAGTAATTTGCTATCTCTAGGAATTGGCTAGCCTTGGGAGGGACAGGGTCTCCTAGGCCAGCAAGGCCCCAAGAGGTCAAAGCATCAGAATTGCAGAAAATAGGCATGATTAATACAGGATGGAGACGAAAAGATGCAGAGAGACTAAAGACTATACTGGAAAGAGGAGAACATAGCAACAGATTGTTTAAAGCCACGAAGAATGCAAGACCCACTGTTGATCCTGTGTGAGCAGGCAACCCACTCACTGTCACTCAAGAGCACATTTTCTGCCTACCTGCCGTGGGTCTTGGCACTCAGGTCCTTCAGGAAAGCTATGGTGCCTTCCCCTCTGGCATTGAAGGATACTGTGTGGACCGGGTACGGGATCTCCAAGGCACTCTGGAGGAGAAGCTCCTTGGATTCTTCAGGAACATCCCCCACTACACAGTAGTAAATGGATTCAATCTGCAAAACAGTGGTGCCAACGGTTTATCTCCTTGACACGCCCTAGCTTGGTACTAGACTCATCAGTAATACACTTTCTACAAAATGACCTCTTTAAAAAAAAATGGGCAGAAAGAATAGCAGCCTTGCCCAGGGTTTTGTGAGGACATCAGGGCCAGTCAGGAAGTGAGATATTCGAGGCTTGGTGCCAAGAGGTCTCTCAGCAGAGCTGTTGTCTTGGGTAAGGCATGAGAAGAATATGGAGATCTGGAGAACTTTCTCTAGCCCACAAATACATCACGCAGGTTCAGAGTGGTTATTTTCAAGTCAAGCAATGAAGGAAGCACTGGCACAGCCACTGCAGGCAGGAAGCTTATCTGCCATTTCCGTGGTGGTGCCAGAATCCCACAATGCAAACTCATGTGTCCTCTGAGGCAGAAAATGGAAAGGAGGGCACATTGCCAGCTGGCTCCAACTCTGGGCTCACCTCAGCAGAGACTCGCATGCCTGGGGCTGGGGTGAGACTGTCCTGACTGTGCACAGCTGGTCAGAAGCCAGGTCTGTCTGCAGTGCCCTGCCTCTCACCACCAAACCAGGCCATGAAAAGACCAGGAGAATAAGCAACCTCTGTTTCAGGACAGACAGACAGACAGACAGACAGACACACACACACACACACACACACACACAGAGCTTAAACCAGTGATTCTGGGAGGTACATACCTCCCCCAGCTAGGAGACAACCCCAGAGAAGTGCCACCAGCTGAACTGAGAGCTAGAGAACCCACTCCCGGGCCCTGAGACAGCCGCCCCTCCTGCCCTGCTGCAGCCCTGTCACCCTCAATCCTCCCAGGACGGTGCTTTCACAGTACTCCCTGCCCCTGCCACCCAGGAGCTCTGTCACCTCAGGCCAGTGACCTAACTTCAGTGTCTTCCCGTGTAAAAAGGGAGATAATGCAGTTTATTATTCATGATGGAATTGAAACAGGATGACTTACACCTATGTGTGGATTTCCATACATCTCAGAAAGTGAAAAACCCAAGGAGAGCCAGGAATCCATATCCTCTAAACCTGCCCTAAAATGTCCTGATGGAGTGTGTCCACACATAACTGGGGAAGAAACCCCAGCAAATGTATTGTGGTAGAGGATAAACAGAGGTCACCATCCCTTTAGGATTCACAGCCCTCTCCTTGCTCTAATCCCAAATACCAGTGAGCTGAACATAGTCAACAAATGGCTTCACTTCTGCGTCTATTCCAGGCCTTAAACTCACCTGGCCAAGGGTGGGAGTGGCCTCATGGTTGATTTCTACTTGGTTGGAGTGCTCTGCCTGCAACAGATGGACTCTGTGCCAAGGAGGTGGAAGGGGTGAGGGTGGGAGGCAGAGGGTGGGGCCCAGACTGGGCCTTAGGAGAAGGACAGAGTGGGAGCTGATAGGCTACTTGAAAAACATGGAGAGATCCAAGATGGCTGATCACTAGCAGCTCGGGATTGTAGCTCCCAGTGAAAGCGCAAAGAACAAGAGGGCGCCACACCTTCACATGAATTCTTGTTGCTCATGCAGCAGAAGATTCCCAGCAGAGGAGCCCCATGGATCGCCAGCGCGACTCTTGTGACCTGCGAGGTGGTTTTGCTGACGCCTCGGAGCATCGGTTCTTGGTGCAGAGTCAGAAAAGCACCATCAATCTTAACGCCGCTGATTTAGTCGGCGCAGTGGGTTGCTCAGGTTCCGGCGCTGAGAATCAGTAAGTTGGACGTCCACTCAGAAACTCAATTACAAAGACGGTAAATACAAAGACCACAGATGGATAAATTTATAACAAAGGGAAGAAAACAGCCAAAAAAGACTGAGAATACCCAAGATCAGAACGCCTCTCCCTCAGCAGGGGATCACAGTTCCTCATCAGCAACGAAACAAGGCTTGATGGAGAACTAGTGTGTTCCAATTACAGAAGCAGGCTTCAAAATGTGGATAATGAGAAACTTCTGTGAATTAAAAGAACTTGTTTTAACCCAATCTAAAGTAACTAAGAACTTTGAAAAAAGATTTGATGAAATGTTAACAAGAATACACAATTTAGAGAGGAATACAAGTGAATTGATGGAGCTGAAAAACACAATACAAGAACTTCGTGAAGTATGCACAAGTTTTAACAGCCGAATTGATCAAGCAGAAGAAAGGATATCAGAGGTCGAAGACCAACTCAATGAAATAAAACAAGAAGACAAGATTAGAGAAAAAAAGGATAAAAAGGAACGAGCAAAGTCTCTGAGAAATATGGTACTATGTGAAAAGACCTAATCTACGCTTGATAGGTGTACCTGAATGTGACGAAGAGAATGAATCCAAGCTGGAAAATACGCGTCAGGACATTATTCAGGAAAATTTTCCCAACCTAATAAGGCAGGATAATATTCAACTCCAGGTAATACAGAGAACACCACAGAGATATTCCTCAAGAAGAGCAACTCCAAGGCACATAATCATCAGATTCACCAGGGTTGAAATGAAGGAGAAAATATTAAGGGCAGCCAGAGAGAAAGGTCAGGTTACCCACAAAGGGAAGCCTATCAGACTTACAGCAGATCTCTCAGCAGAAACCCTACAAACCAGAAAAGAGTGGGGACCAATATTCAACATCCTTAAAGAAAAGAACTTTCAACCCAGAATTTCACATCCAGCCAAACTAAGCTTCACAAGTGAAGGAAAAATAAAGTTTTTTGTGAACAAGCAAGCACTCAGAGATTTCATCACCAGGCCTGCTTTACAAGAGCTTCTGAAAGAACCACTACACATAGAAAGGAACAAACAGTATCAGCCTTTCTAAAAAAATACCAAAAAGAGCATCAATATAATGAAGAATTTACATCAACTAATGGGCAAAATAGCCAGCTAATATTAAATGACAGTATTAAACTCACATATATCATTATTAATTCTAAATTTAAATTGACTAAATCCCCCAATCCAAAGACAGACAGGCAATTTGAATAAAAAACTAAAACCCATCAGTATGCTGCATCCAGACCCATCTCACATTCAAGGATACACAAAGACTCCAAACAAGGGATGGAGAAGGATTTACCAACCAAACAGAGAGCTAAAATAAATAAATAAAAAGCAGAAGTTACAATTAAGCAACAAAGATCAAAAGAAGCAAAGAAGGACATTATATAATGATAAAAGGATCAATGCAACAACAAGAAGAGCTAAAGATCCTAAATATATACGCAGCCAATACAGGAATACGCAGACATACAAGACTTACAAAGAGACTTAGACTCTCACATAATAATAATCCGAGACTTCAACATTAATATTAGACAAATCAGTGAGACAGAAAATTAACAACGATATCCAGGACTTGAACTCAGATCTGGAACAAGTAAATGTAATTAACATTTATAGAACTCTCCACTTTAAATATACAAAATATACACTCTTATCAGTACCACATCATATCAACTTAGAAGTTTAAATGAAATCTTGGTTGGCTCCTTGTTTGTTATTCTCTTCCCTCATTTTCTTTTATATTCCATTATTAAGGACAATTATAGGCATACCCATATTTAGATTGCATTCTAGCCCGGGCAATAAAGCAATACCCCCATCCTCTCTCCCTCTTCCTCTTTCTCTTTCTTCCTCTTCTTTATTCTTTTTCTTATAAAAAAAGAAAAGAAAAGAAAAGAAAAAGAAAAAAAAAAGAAAAAGAAAAATGTGCTCCATAACCAGGAGAAAAGTCAGTCAATAAAGGGACCCAGAAAGACAGAGATGATAGCATTGGCATCTAAGGGCTTTACAGGTCTTACAAATACACCAACATTTTTGGGGTTTTTGTTTTGTTTTGTTTTTGAGACAGAGTCTCACTCTGTCCCCCAGGCTAGAGCGCAGTGGCACAATCTCAGCTCACTGCAACCTCTGCCTCCTAAATTCAAATTATTCTCCTGCCTCAGCCTCCAGAGTAGCTGGGATTACAGGTGCCCACCACCATGCCCAGCTAATTTTTGTATTTTCGGTAGAGTCGGGGTTTCATTATGTTGGCCAGGGTGGTCTCAAACTCCTGACCTCAGATGATCTGCCTGCCTCGATCTCCCAAGTGCTGGGATTACAGGTGTGAGCCACTGCGCCTGGCCAACATGTTTGGGGTTTTAAAGGAAAGAGTAAAGAGAATCAGCAGAGAGAAATGGAAAAAGCGGAAGGAACTGCTAAAGATGAAAACGAGGTCTCTAAAGTGATGTGCTCACTAGCAGGAATTCCATCACTGCGCGGGGTGGGGAAGGCAGGGCGGGGCAGGGGGGGAGGGCGGGGCAGGAATGAGCGGCATATTTGACACTGCAGAGTGCAGATCAGTGATCTTAAGGAAGCAGCGAAAGACACCATGAAACAAGCATGCAGGGGCCACAAACCTGAAAATGAAAGGGCCTCCATGACCTGAAGGAACAATCAGGTGGCCTAACATGCTTAGACTCAAAAGCGGGAAGCATGAAAAAATATCTGAACTCCAACAAATCCCAAACACAACAGACACAGAAAAACCAATCCAAGACTCATCATAATCAAATTGCTGAAAACCAACAATAAGGAGAAACTCTTAAAAGCTTTCTTTGAGGTAGTATCCCAGAGGGGATCGCTTCCCACAGTTTATCTAGCCTGGGAAAGGGGAAGGCTCTTCTAAACTCCACAAAACTACACAGGTCCTGTCCCTGAGAAAAGCCCTTGAGCTCTCCCCACGTTCAGAAAAAAAAAAAAAAGAAAGAAAGAAAAACACCCCTCCACCAGTGTGGCACAGAAAGCCCTGGTCCCCTCCCAGGCCTCTTTCTCTTAGGCCTTTCAACACCAATTCCCTGATTCTAAAAAGTGCCTATTGAGTGGTAAAAGACTGGGGGATATTGTAAATTTCTTCAAGTCAGTAAACTGGGAGTAAGAAAAACCCCGAAAGGAAGAAATCATCTTCTCCAGATTCCTTATAGACAGCCAGTACTGCTCTGCCAGCAGATGCATTGTTTCCTTCTTTTCTTGGTCTCACGCATGACCTTGTGTGAGATGCATTTAAAAGGCTTCCACTTAGCAGCCCTATTATTTATCCGAGTTTTCCAGCTGCATCAGTGCTCAAGTTTAGCATGAGGACAGGCTCATCCTGTTGTATGGATCTAAAAGACACATGGCCTGAGACGGGGGGCAGAGTATTTTCTAGGGTTTGTTAGATGAAGAGGGGGGTGAGGACACATCTCGAGGTGGTCTGTCAGCCGCTCCTGACACCTCACACGCCCACTGCATGTCATGTAAACTCAGCTTACAATGAGTTTGTAAACTTCGGATTATTGTCAAACTTGGCTCTGACAATAATCCAAAAACCCGAAGTTCTTGTGCAGAAATGTTTTTCCCTCGAGATTTCATCAAACCAAAAATTGCTGTAGCCAACGGTGAGTCAGGATTTCCTTTCCCTTACTAAGGCCGAAATGTTATTCATTACTCAGCTTCTTAATCACATACATTTTCAGTCAACTCTCTGTGCTACAGATTTCCTGGGACATGCTTCACATGGAGACCACCTATCTGCCCCCACCACTCTCCTGCACACAGTCTTTCTGCCTCTTCTTTCTGCTCATGTAATGACACTTAAACAAACTGAAAGGATAAATATGCTACCTATTCCTGTCCACCATCAAACTGGCAAAATGCCCCTTAAAGCAAAATGGCTTGAAGACTGTTGGCTATTTGAGATGATAAACTAAAATGAATTATTTTACTCAATACAACAGTCCTGTGGAGCATGAATTATTACCATCCCCAGTATACAGATGAAGAAACTGAGGCTTGGAAAGGAAAACTGAGTTGGCCTTGGAGCTGGTAAGCCCAGGCTGCCCGGCCTCATGAGTCCTGCCCTTGCCATCCACGGCTACACTGTGCTGTTCATGGCAAGGCTGGTCACCTGTTAGAGATGCATGTGAGCCCCAGAATTCAGAAAGTAAGATCAAGCAAGAGAAGGTGGCCCCGGGCACGCACTTTTTTCACTTCCATCATTACCCCACAATGGAAATGAAAAAATTTCAGGCTCCTACCCCTGAAATTCAAGGGTTCAGGCTCCTACCCCCTGATACCAACACCACTGACCAAAAGTTGGGACCAGAAGGTTGTGTGGCTTAAGGGAGTTATCCTCATGGGAATCTGCACCCTTAACCAGTGTCTTTGAGCTTCTTGAAGGCAAAAGCCAGTCCTGAGGCTCAGTAGCAGCCTTCAGTCCTGGAGTAGATTCCTCACTGACCACATTTCCCTAAATGCTGATTTGCACTGAGTTTGATAAAATACGTAAGGTCCATTCAGCTCCTTTAGAATGAGTCAAAAACTCTTGCCACTTCATACTACATCAAGTAGGGAGAAGCCTTTATGTTTTCATTTGAAATGCTTTATTACATCTGGGCCATTCATTCTGCAGCTTCACACAGTAGCATGCATTCTGCCCCGCCAAGGAGTCCTTGACATCTTCCTAGCTGCAGCTTTTGGGGGAGAAAGAAACAGACTAGGAGTGTGCATTTCTACTCTGACTGCCCTTTGTCCCACTGGCCAGAGCCTGTGCTCTCATCCCCTAGGCTTCCAGGTATAAAAATCTTCACTCTTCAAAGAGCAAAAAGAAAGTCAACCAGAATAGCAGTGAAAGATCCAGCAAAATTCTGTCTTGTTCTGCGTACAACTTTGAACACTACAACATTTCTGGCCAACTCCAGACCTCGGATCTGACCTCCAAAATCCCCCTGTACCTGTGGGAGCCCTCTGCTGTCTCAGCCCATTTGATCTTTTGATTCCCCACGTGGTGGTGACTGTCTCCACGGTATTGATCTAGTTCACCTCTCAGAACCCTTCTAAGACCCTTCACCACCTCCGATTTTCTGGCCTCCCAGGTTTCAGGGTCTCTGTCCCCACCTGCCATCCCCACCAGGGTCCTATAAGACTCACCACATTCACCTGTTCAGTCCCATACAGACCATCTCCCTTCAATTCACAAAACTCAACTCTATGCCATAGCTTGAAAATGGGACCCACATTTTCCCCTCAAACATAAGAATATCAAAATTATTTCCTTTCCAACCCTTCACTGTTCAACAGGCATTTATAGAGCCCTTGTTAGGCATCAGAGATACAAAAACAAAAAGATCTGATGCCTGTCTGAATCACTACAAGGAAATAAATGAACTGCCAGGGTCATGGATTAATGTGGCCAGGCCTTCGGCTTTCAGTCCAGCAGTGAAGGTTCTTTACGAAATCATGTGGGTCTGTCCTTAATCCACTCACTTGTTCTCCCAGGAAATATGATTAAAAGAAACCAAAAAATAAACAGATATGTGCCAGCAGGTGGATGGAAGAGAGGAACAGAATCAGAAATGCAGGTGTCTTCTGGGTAGGTGGCCTTGTCCTGGCAGAGACACAAAGCCCCTCAGTCTTCTTAGGCAGCTTAGAACAAGGGCTCTGGGTAAATAGCCTTCCCTTTTGTCCCGTACACCACCCTTCCTTGTAGGGCCTAGGAAGCTACCAACTTCCAAAGATGCATGTCCTGGACCAGGGCTACTGAAGAGCAGAAACTCTGTGCTGGTTCACACACCTGGTCTCTGAGGATGTCAACCCCCTCAACCTGCAAACATGTCCCCAGAACCCCATGTGCTGCCCACCCCATGAGCCAGGTTCCGTTTCATAGGATGCAACAGTAATTCATCTATCAATAGTACTGTTCGAGTGCTATGAGTAGAGCCAGGATTTCAGCAGACTTCCCACTCTGCACGGCTCTTCTTAGACCTCAGGGCCCCCCTCTCTCGTTGCTTCCTGTTTCAGTCTTGCTGGCCCGCCATGGTTACAAAGCCTCTCCCGGCCTGGAGAGGGCTGGGAGCCTCTCTGGGCATCCTTCTTCTCCATGACCAAGCACGTGGTTCAGCCCTACTCCTCATGTGGACTTAGTACAGGAACCGGACTTGCATATTCATTTGTGGACACAGGACAACACTCAATTTCTTAGCTCCTCTCAGTACCTGCTCATGAAGGGAGACGCTAACGTGCAGCAGGTTATCATCATCAGGAATAGTCTGGGCATTTATATTTACCGTTCAAAACATTCCTTAAGCTTCCCATCTTTTCTGTTCAGAGCAAACTACAGCTATCTGGATGAATTCGGAGCTCACTGGGGTGGCCATGACAGGCATGGAGCAGAGAAGCAGGACTTATGGGAACCCACCTCTCCCTGCCCCGCCACACACACATGTGTTTTTTAACTCCTCATAAAACAGGGCACAGCATTTTTATATGCAAGGCAGTTGCATTTACTAGAATTTTCCTTGAGTCCACCCCCATGGGCAGAGGGGCACAGCGGTCTGTGTAGGCCTGGCATGTGCTGTGCTCCACAGCTTCTTCTCAAAATCTTTCAGGCTGCATTTGATGAGCAGTACCTGGAAGCTTCTTTCTTGGTTCCTCTTCTTCTATAGGACTTATCTGGAACTCTCTGAATTGTTCCTTACTTCCTGGGATAAGAATGAACCCCAGACAAAAAAGAGGCATAAACCAGAGGGAGTGAAACAGAAAGGCAGGATCACTGGGGACCCTGCAGTCAGGTCAGGGTGCCACAGTCAGCTGTGACCACAATAGCCAGGTTCACAGACACAGAAAACAGCTGTGTGCACAGGCTCATGCACACACACCCTGATCATGGGTAATGTTACATTTTTTGAATGCTTATTAAGGTGTCCAGACACTTGAAATTTTACAGATGTTAAAACAAACTCGAAGGATCAAGGAACAAAAAGCTTGTATCTGGTTCTTCCTTAATGGAATACATTTGTTCCTTTGGCTTTGGAAGGAAAAACAATGTGTTTCCAATGACAAACCATCACCCTCAGTATGGATAAAACAGGCTGGTGACCACTGGGGGCTATCTTTCAAGATGCCAGCACATGGCCTCTTTCTCCAAGAATGGACTTCTTGATGTACTTGGTAGGGCTTGAAACTTACAGAAACCCCAGCCTTCCAGAGCAGTGGAAGCATGTAACTGTTAAGTAACTGTATCCAAAGGCAAGCCGACCTTCCCACAGGGAGCCCACCTGCCAGAATGTGTCTCTACTGGCTTGCTACTGCGCCTAACACTCCCATTACTAGAGTTACTCCCAGAAACACAGACCCTGCGGCTCAAAGAGACATAACACACCACCATCTAATCACTTCTTCCAGGTAAAGCTTTATTTCCAAAAGGTCCCTATCAAAATTCATGTCGACACTTTGACATCCAAAAATGGATGGAGTCATCAGCGTGTATGTACTTCACCTTGGAAAGTACATGACAGATGACAGATCCATCTGTGAAGAAGAGGGACTAGGAAAGATTCAGAACTTGGATGTTGGGAAAACCCTATTTCCCCACCCTCAGGGTTCTATGAGGAGTCTTTCAATCTCACTCTCCTCCTCATAAGAGACTGACTGATCTAATTGGCAGGAGAGCAACAGTGAAATTAATACGGCAGAGATGCACAACTATGGCTTCACTCCTATCCTTTCTTGATTCTCTGTGGGTGTGAGCAGTGCTTGGCTCTTCCAGCACTGGCTAAACAAGGGTCTACTCTGCATCCTCAATCACTCCACAGAGGGGGCCTGGCCAGGTTCAGGGGACAGGTATTTGGGGGCCTCATTTGGGTTGGTCCAGCTCTGCCATCACCATCAGTGCCTGAAGAGGTCTCTGTGGGATCCTGCTGGGAGGGGCCCAAGATTAGTTGAAGGGCTGTGTAAAGTCACTCAGTGTGAAGAGTTAAGCTGGAAGCCACCCCCATGGCCTAGGACCAGCTATGAACATGCACTTACAGTCTTGTCTTTCCCAGCTTCCAGAAGTGCATCCATGCGGCCAGCGTTGCTCACAGTCAGCTCAATAGTCAGTTTCTCAACCCAACTGACAGCAGCAGCTATGGACTGTTTGGTCACAGGAGTAGCACTTTCCTGCCATTTCACAGGCTCTTGAGAAACCCTGAAAGGGATCACATGGAGTGGTCACTGGGCAGTGACCAATGCTACTGGGGATGCCAACCCTCCCTCTCACAGCCATGAGCAGCAAGCCATCAACATCCATCTCTAGAGCTGAAAAAGAAAGAAATCATAGCTCCCAGCCTCTGATGTTACCAACAAAACCAGCAAGCTATTCAAGACAGGTTCCCCAAAGCACCACTATCTTCTGTAAGCTGTGCTGAGTAGGAAAAACAATGCTTACATGAGAAACAGAAAGGTAAACGTTAACAATAAGTCCTTTAAAATATTTTTATAAACAGGCAAGTTTATATGTAACTCGCTTCTCTTAATGGTAAATTTATAATAATTCACAGTATAAAGATTTGCAAATCACCAGCAATTCTATTACTCTAAAATTTTACTTCTAATTCTTTATGACATTGTTTATATTGCCCTGAAAGATTCCCATAGGTTGCCTTTTATTGTATTAATACTGGTATTGTTCTGAGTTCAGCAGAGTATTAGGTTTTAAATCCTGAGAAATTTTGCTTAAACCATTTAGTTTCAGCTTATAAATGACTGGTGGAAGCCCCATTTCCAAAAAAAGAAGAGCCAATTGAATTATCTCAACTTATTTGCAATGAATAATTGCAAATAAAATGGCCTAATTGCCCCTATGGCCTGCCATCAGAAGCAGGGCTGGCTCATACTCAATGTCTGCTACATGCTTCCTGGATAGAGAATCTTGCTGAGTGACATCTGTGTTGTAGCAGAGGTCTCCCAGAAAGCAAAAGCTTTGCGGACTTAAGCACTTGATTCCTTCAGTAATATACCTGTGACAGAAATAGAATCTCGATAGAACATAATTAGGCATTGTCTTCAGAGATGTCCTCTATTTAGCTGAAAGTATTTGATTAAAAACAGAAAAATTGAATAAGGTAGATCCTTCTCCAACCCTTATCCAGATGTTTTTTGTCAGGGAGGTGCAATCACTTTTCCAGATGAGAAGTTAGTGTTGAGGTCCAAGTTCTCTTGAATCCAAGAATCCATAAATAATTGGTTGTGAAAACTGAAATATGGGAAATTCTACAAAACCAGCCACCTATTGTTCTGGTTAAAGGGGTCAACTTATAGGGGAGGTCAACTTGAGTTGTAGACTCAGTCTGGATAATCAGTGAAATTAGTGACCTTTGAATTCATTACCCAAGTTAAAAACTAAAATGAATGAAGAGATTTATGGCCTTAAATATGTATTTGCCATAATTCAGCCGGGTGCGGTGGCTCAAGCCTGTAATCCCAGCACTTTGGGAGACTGAGGCGGGTGGATCACGAGGTCAGGAGATCGAGACCATCCTGGTCAACAAGGTGAAACCCTGTCTCTACTAAAAATACAAAAAATTAGCTGGGCATGGTGGCGCGTGCCTGTAATCCCAGCTACTCAGGAGGCTGAGACAGGAGAATTGCCTGAACCCAGGAGGCGGAGGTTGCGGTGAGCCGAGATCGTGCCATTGCACTCCAGCCTGGGTAACAAGAGCGAAACTCCGTCTCAAAATATATATATATATATATATATATATATATATATATATATATATATACACACACACATACACACACACATATATATATTATATACATATATATGTATACATATATATAATATATACATATATATATATATATTTGCCATAATTCAAATTCTTATATTTCCCATGCACCAAAGAAATGCGTGTTTCTAAATCTCTTTTAATGTGAAAGCTAAGACACCTTGTGCAGAGCAGGTAAAAGTTCCTAAGATTTATTCACTGTGGGATTGCTGCTGAAATTACAACTTCTGGGAAAGTATAAGATAATGCCTCTTCCCTTACCATAGAGCTAACTGTGTCAGCTATGCTACTTAACTCCAAATACGTACAAGTTACTATGAAGTTGCACTAAAATCCTCCCTTCCTATGGGAACTCACCGTATGATATTGAAGTTGGTTATGTGAGCCACCTGCTCCTGGAGGACCATTGTTAGCGCCTCTTGGCACAGATCAAGCTCTCCCTCCAGAATGCCGCCAAAATCCAGCACTATGGAGACACACTGTTCCAAGATGACACCAAAAATCTGCCGGCTTTTGCTGGTGAGCCAGTCCATTCGCTGCTTGTAGCTCTCCACAGCTTGTGTTAAATGTTCCACGAACTGATAAATCAGTTCTGATTTAGCTGTCAGCTTAATGAAAATAAAAGACAAAAACAATAAAGCAATGCCAAAATAAGTCATAAGAACCACAGTGCTGCCATTGAGAACCGTGCACTGATAGCAATGTCGTCAATGATCCTCCAAACACTACACAATCCAGGAGAAAAGCTTCTGATCTTTCAACTGAAAAATGCTTGGATTCCCCACAGAAGAAAAGATGATGATGTGATCTGTTCGAAATATAGCAGTCTTAAAAAAACTTTCCATATTGTGTTTTTATCTTTATAGTTACAGATTATCAGAAAAAGTCCAGGGCACTCTTAAGAAATTAGGTAGAGGCTGGGCGCAGTGGCTCATGCCTGTAATCCTAGCACTTTGGGAGGCCGAGGCAGGTGGATTTCCTGAGCTCAGGAGTTTGAGACCAGCCTGGGCAACATGGTGAAACCCCATCTCTACTGAAAAAAAAAAAAAAAAAAAAAAATTAGCCGGGTATGGCAGTGTGTGCTTGTAGTCCCAGGGGCTCGGGTTGAGGCAGGAGAATCATTTGAACCTGGGAGGCGGAGGTTGGGGTGAGCCAAGATTGCACCACTGCACTCCAGTCTGGGGAACAGAGCTAGACTTCATCTCAAAAAAAAAAAAAAGAAAAAGAACAAAAGAAAGAAATAAGAAATTAGGTAGAAGAGGAGACCAACAAAGGCAGATGGAAAATAATGTCTCACTAAAACATTTCCTAAATATAACATTCCAAAAATATTTCCGAAAATGCTATAGAACATGCCAGCACACCTTCCTGCCTTCCTCTACAGGATGCCATCCTGGCTACTCATCCTTCTGCTCGTGACCTTTGTCCTCATGCCCTCCTCTCTCAGACGAAGTTCCCCTGTACCTGGACCACCTGATCACTCACTGCTGCTACCAACAGTCCTTGGACTGCCCCCCAAATGATGACAGAGACTTGCAGGAAATTTCTTGTATGCACAAATAAACCATCCTTCGCATAGATCAGACACACTGTGCAAAGCCTTTCAGGAGGTAGAGAGGCAGTAGAAGACATAGAAAAGGAACAAGAAAAAATCATGCCCTATTCTGTAACAAAGCACATTTCAAAAGAAGATATGGTATTTTACCTTGGAAAATATGCTTTCAGACCACATCACCTAATTCCACATTTGTGTGCCTTGACTCAGGCTCCTTTCCTCCCTGTCCCATGTGTCTCTCAAGCTTACTCACACTCCTCAAGCTCCAGCATCGCTTCTCTGAGGCTTCTTTAAGGCAGAATTACCAACTCCTTCACCAGCATCCACAGCTGCTGCTATAACACAGAAGCCAAGGTGGGCACACCACAGGTAATGTGGAGGTGGATTTTGCTGAAGGTAAAGGGACAGATGTTTTTAAGAGTTCAGCACTAATTTTAATGTAGTTCAAATGAAAAAATATACTTAGTACACCAAACTCAGGATTCCACAGATATAATTGCTTAGGACCCGGCTTAGTTTAAAAAGCATTTTAAGCTAGGCTGGGCATGGTAACTCACACCTGTAATCCCAGCACTCTGGGAGGCCAAGATGGGCAGATCACCTGAGGTAGGAGTTTGAGACTAGCCTGGCCAACATGGTAAAACTCCACCTCTACTAAAAATACAAAAATTAGCTAGATGTGATGGCACATGTCTGTAGCTACTTGGGAGGCTGAGGCTGGAGTATCACTTGAACCCGGGAGGTAGAGGTTGCAGTGAGCTGAGATGGTGCCACTGCACTCCAGCCTAGGCGACAAAGTGAAACTGTGTCTCAAAAAAAAAAAAAAAAAAAAAGTAATTCGAGGTTTGGAAAAAGTAAGTAGTAGGTGCATCTTCAAGCTGAAGGCAATCTACCACCATTGTGGAGGTTTCTCCAAGGGCTGAATGGCCTGGCTCTCCCTCTAACAGTATCCCTCCAGGTTCTCTGCTGTTTCCTGGGCAGCCCCAATACCCTACCAGGGTATTTTCACCTATGACTACCCCCACACCGGCTGCCCCACCAGAGCATTGCCAGCGGCTCCTAATGGAAGGCTTTTGCCAACAGCCTGGTAGCACAATGGCTGCCCCAGCACAGCCAGCGGTCAACTTCAAGGGGCCAGAGGACAAAGCCACAGCCCGATCGTAGCCCCCAGGGTCAGCGTATGCAGCCCAGGTTAGCCTTGGCCCTCTGAAGACATCAAGAAACAAAGCCAATCAACTATACCCAACTCACACTACAGTCAAATCCTCAAGGGAGATAAAGAACATACAAACAAAAAGTCCTATCCAAGGGATGGCAACTTAAAAGGATGAAGAAGCATCAGCCTTCACAGGTGAGAAAGAACCAGTGCAAGAATTCGGGAAACTCTAAAGTCCAGAGTGTCCTCTTACCTCCAAGCAGTCACAGTACTTCTCAGCAGTGGTTCTTAACCAGATTGAAGTGGCTAAAATGACAGACATTGAATTCGGGATCTGGATGTCAAAAAAGCTCATAAAGGTATAGGAGAAGGTGGAAGCCCAATCCAAGGAAAATGGTAAAATGATCCAAGAATCAGATGACATAGCTATATTAAGAAAACTAAACTGAACTTCTGGAATTAAAAATTCACTACAGAAATTTAATAATACAATTGGAATCATTAATAAAAAATAGACTGAACTGAGTAAAGAGCTTCAGAATTGAAGAACCACTCCTTTGAATCAATGCAGGCAGACAAAAATAAAGAAAAAGGCCCAGACATGGTGCTTCACACCTATCAAAGGATGAGGTCAAGGGGAAGCCAGGTGGGAGGCCCAGGCAAGCAGATCACTTGACCTTAGGAGTTCAAGACCAACCTGGGCAACCTGGCAAGACCCTGACTGCAAAAAGTACAAAAATCAGCTGGGTGTGGTGGCACATGCCTGTGGTCCTAGCTACTTGAGGGGCTGAGGTGGGAGGATCACTTGAACCTGGGAGATGAAGGTTGCAGTAAGCCATGATCATACCACTGCACTGCAGACTGGGTGATAGAATGAGAATGTGTCTCAAAAGAAAAAAGAATTATCAAAAATGAACAAAACCTCTGAGAAATAGGAGATTATGTAAAGAGACCAAACCGATGACTCACTGGCACTCCTGAAAGAAAAGGAGAGTAAACGACTGGAAAAAAGATTTGAGAATAAAGTCTACAAAAATTTTCTCAAAAAAAAAAATTGCCAAAAAATGTAGTTTAAGTTTTCTAAATATTAGGAAACAGTAGTCCAGGCAGTACATGGATCTACACTGACATGAGCAAATATCCATAAAGGACATGATGGGACACGTGTCTCCAACAGGCTCGAGCTCCATGTGGTTGGCCCGACACGTAGGAGGGATCACATAGAGGAGGCATGAGACTCAGGTGCTGAATGGTTGGGAATGAAGGACTCTGGTCAGAGGTGCTGCTCATTCTCCCTCTTGAAAATGCTTCCCCTATTCCTGGTGCTTCTGTCAAATAATGGCAGTTTGCTCTTGGCTTTCAGATCATCTCTGTCATATTGCTTTTTTCCTTTATTTTCAAAGCAAAAACAGTGGTAATGTGCAAAGGTTTTCCTTTCTCATCTAGAGCTTTCTGCACTAATCTCTAATGGATCAAAAACTTCCTTCCTTGATCATGACTTTCATCACCCTACCAATGCCAAAAGGAAAGACCCAGTCTGAAAAGGCCTTGGCTCAGCTGCATCACTGCCAAGCAGCACAAGTCTCTCCCCACACAACACTCCCCAACGCGATGTCAGCACCATGTCACAGGACTGAGCATTGAGGAAATAATGACTTACATTGTATACTCTGCCATCTTCTGCTCTGTAGAGCTGTGGAAACAGACCATCAGCATACCGAGAAGCCACAAGTCTCCCCAGAGATGCCACATAATCTGCATTTTTATGAAGAAAAACAATCAAAACAGTGGTACATGACTGAATCTTCTTATTTTTATTTTGAAACGTTTTTCTCTGACACAATTTAAATTATATCTTGTGACATCAATAATTTGTGATACTTTCTATTCTGTTCTAAATCATAAAGTATTTCTAAGTGCTATAATAAACATAACTGTCTATGGCATTGTAATCTTCTGATGCATGAATAAACAGGAAGAATAGGATTTGTGTCCTCGTCTCCTTGTACTTAGATCCAGAATAATGACAGCAGAGGTTTTTTTTAAAAAAAGCAACAGAGAGATTATTTTAATTTCTAAAACTTATTCATGACTTGAACTTGGTTTTCAGGATTTTTAAAATTTAACTTAGGTATTACTTACTGTATTCTCAATTGGAGGTTCATAATTAAATCAGTGAAATAAAGCAAGCAGGTAATAGATTCAGAATTGCCATACAGAATGTCAGACCTACAAGCTTTTCTTCTCATCAGATTATATGCTCAGCTGTTCAAATATCTTTTGCATAAACCTTTATTGGGTGCCTACTATGTACTAGGCACGCTTACAGGATTGTAATACAATTGTTACCTCAAACATAGTCCTACTCCTTCATGAAACTATCAGAAGGCCACAGAGAGGCTTCAAAGACTAACTAGGATTTAGCAGGATAGAAGATGAGGTAAGGCTTCACAGAGATGTTTTTTATTTGGTGATTATTTTAATTTTATTTATTATTATTATTATATATTTTTTGAGACAGAGTCTTGCTCTGTTGCCAGGTGCCAGGCTGGAGTGCAGTAGCACGATCTTGGCTCACTGCAACCTCTGCCTCCCGGATTCAAGCAATTCTCCTGCCTCAGCCTCCTGGAGAGCTGGAACTACAGGCGTGCACCACAAAGCCCAGCTAATTTTTTGTTGTTGCTTTTTTTAACAGAGATGGGGTTTTGCCATGGTGTCCAGGATGGTCTCAATCTCTTGACCTCATGAGCCGCCCGCCTCGGCCTCCCAAACTGCTGGGATTACAGGCTTGAGCCACCGTGCCCAGCCTTATTATTTTAATTTTATTATTATTTTTAAGTCCCAAAGGTAGAAAACAGAATGGTGGTACTTGTGGTTCCAGTACTTCCTTTCCTCTGCTTTACTGTGGAGGCAGGATAACAGTTTCCTCTGGAAAGCTAAAAGGAGCAAGGCTGAATTTTATAGACACCTGGTCAGGGTTGGTTCTCAATCACAAGGGGTGATTTCAAGTTTTGAAGTGCAACTTTCACAATAGTAAAGAGTAAAGAATGGATACTTGAATTCCATCAGCAATAATCTCACTCAATAGACCTCTTCAGCTCTAAAATTTGTGTTTCCAAGATTTCACCTTTTTAGCTGACATTGATGAAATGACAAAATATCATTAGTGCATTCTCTGTTTACCTAAGACATTTATCTGGAGTTGGAAGAGGAAGCTGTTTTTTGAGGATTGAAGGAGATAAGTCTGTGGAAGGCTCCATACGCTGTATTGACAAGTGAAATGTAAGGCATTGTGAGTTCTGCATCCAATAACAGTGGAATAGACTGTATTGGCTAACCTTCACACAGAAAAATATGATAAATTCTGTACAAAATATAAAAAGAGCTAGAGACATCTAAAACATGCAGAAACTGGAATGGCATCCATCCTAAAAAGGAGGACACTTTTGAGGTGAGATTTGTATTTATTTAGCAGGAAAGAGAGGGAGTTTGGAGTTTGAGTCCAGCCAACTTAACTGCCCACTAGAATGAAAATCAGCTCTCCATCTATCAACAGACAAATGGATTAAAAAAACTGTGGTATATCCATACAATGGAATATCACATGGCTGCAAAAAGGAATAAAGTACTAGTGCTGATTACAACATGGATTACAAATGTTTTAAGAACCTTAAAAACATTAGGCTAAGTAAAAGAAACCAGTCACAAAAGACCACATATTATAAATTCTATTTAAATGAAATGCTTAGAACAAGCAAGTCTATAGAGACAGTTTAAGGGTGGGAAAGTGTAGAGCTAAGAAGTATAATATTTCTTTCTGAGGTGATAAAAACACTCTAAGTGGTTGCACATATCCATGAATATACTAAAGCCATTGAATTGTAGGTAGGTAAATTATAGCTCAATAAAGCTGTTATAAATAATATATATGTATCGATTTTTATAAGAATAAAAAGTCACTTCTCTTAGAAGAAGGAATATACTGTTGATCCTTGTATAACATGGTTTTGAACTGCATGAGTCTACTTACATGCAGATTTTTTTCAAACAAAGGTGGATAAAAATACAGTATCAGTGGAATGTGAAACCCACTCATAGAAACAGCCAATTTTTCATATACGTGGTTTCTGAAGAACCAAATGCAGGACCTAAGTATGCATGGATTTTGTATCCACAGGGGGTCCTGGAACCAATCTTTTGCATGTACCAAAGAAAAACTATACAACCCAAAGTCTCTACAATCATCTACATTGTGCAGCATAAACAAAAAAGTATTAGATACATAAACAAAGAGAAAATGTGACCAATAGTCAAAAGAAAAAGCAATCAGTAAAACATACCCTGAGATGGACCAGATGTTAAAATTAGAAGAAAAATGCCTCAATTTATTATAAGTATACGATAAACATTATATATATAATGAAGGGAAAGAAAACTGTGATTATAATAAGTGAACAAATGGGGATTTTAGCAGAGAAACTGAAAAGAAAGGAAATTTTAGAACAAAAGGTACAATATCTGTATAGGTTTAACAGCAGATTGGAGGTACCAGAATAAACTGTTAGTAACCTAGAAAATCTGTCAAGAGAAATTACCCAATCTGAAAAACAGAAACTTCTAGCAACCTAGAAAATCTGTCAAGAGAAATTATTCAATCTGAAAAACAAAGAGAAAAAAATATTGACAAAATGAACAGTTTTGGTGACCTGTGGAACAACATCAACATGGTTAGCAAACTATAATTTGAGTCTCAGAAGAAAAAGAGAGAACAGATTGGGTGTAAAGATAGATTAGAAGAAATAATAGTTGAACATTTCCAAGATTTGATTAAAAACAAACCTGTAGATCCAAGAAGCTTGATACATCCAATGCAATGTATGCACAAAGAAAACCTAAAGAAGGCAGGATTTCTGCCAAGATGGCCGAATAGAAACAGCTCTGGTGCACAGTTCCCAGCAGGAGTGATGCAGAAGGTGGGTGATCCCTGTATTTCCAACTGAGGTACCTGGTTCACTGCATTGAGACTGGTTAAGGCAGTGGGTGCAGCCCAAGGAGGGTGAGCTGAAGCAGGGTGGGGAGTCACCTCACCCAGGAAGTAAAAAGTGTGGGAGAACACCCTCTCCTAGCTAAGGGAAGCCATAAGGCACTTTTCCAGACACTCTGGCTCAGATACTGTGTTTTCCCACAGTCTTCACAACTCACAGACCAGGAGATTCCCTCCACTGCCTGCAACACCAGCATCCCAGGTTTCCAGCACAAAACTGGGTAGCCATTTTAGACGTGGCAGATTTTTTCTTTTTTTTCCCTCATATCCCAGTGGTGCCTGGAATGCCAGTGAGACAGAATCACTCATTCCCCTGAAAAAGGGGGCTGAAGCCAGAGAGCCAAGGGATCTGGCTCAGCAGGTCCCATCCCCATGAAGATCAGCAAACTAAGATCCACTGGCTTGAAATTCTCCCATCTAACACAGCAGTCTGAGCTCCACCTGGGATGGTTGAGCTTGGCAGAGGGAGGGGTGACTGCCATTGCTGAAGTTCAGGTAGGCAGTTTTAACCTCACCTGTGTAAACAAAGAGAGTGTGGAGCCCACAGCAGCTGAACAAGGTCACTGCAGGCAGACTGTGTCACTAGATTCCCTTCTTGCTGGGAAGAGCATCTCTGAAAAAAGACAGCAGCCCATCAGAGACTTAAAAATAAAGCCTCGGGGACTTTCAAGATGGCCGCCTAAGAACAGCTCAGGACTTCAGCTCCCAGTGAAAGTGCAGAGGGTGAGTGGACGCCGCATTTCCAGACGAACTCTTATTGCCCACAGACCAGGAGATACCCAGGCAGAGGGGTCGCCAGCGTCGCAGTCCCAGCCGGTGCGGCTGTTTTGGCCCCCGCGGGGCTGATTCCGCCCGCGCGGCTGCTGTGACCACTCCCTGTTGCTGCCGTTCTCCGTAAAAAAGCCACTGGTCTGGGAGCCCTCTTAGCTGGCGAGCAGAGCCTTGAGACGGCAGAATAGCCCATCCATCTGAAATAGCGAGTCAGGCCAGGAGATTCCTAGGCAAAAAATCCGCCAGGAGCCGGCGCCGCGGTTCGAGCCGACTCCGTGAGTCGCAGCACGGGAGATCCCGGCGCCTTTTCAACAAGCGACCGGAACGCGGGGTCGTTCAACTTAAAAGAAAAGACTCTGAGTCAGGGAGCCAGGTGATCAGGCTCGGTGGGTCCCACCCCTCCACCCCCAACAACAACGAAAACAAAAACAGCAATTGGAAACCCTCCGGGTTGAGCCCTTCAAACCAAGCACAGCTGAACCGGGACGGTCCGGCTCCGTGGGGGAGGGGCTTCCGCCATTACTGAGACTCTCCACCGCTACCGAGGCAGGCTGCCGTTGCCGAGGCAACCCGCCGTTGCCGAGGCAACCTGCCACAACAGAGAGAGTCCGCCATAACAGAGGCGGGGCCACCATTGCCCAGACAGTTCTAACTACGCCCATATAAAAAGGACTACAGGGAAGAGCTCAGGGCAGCTGGGCGGAGCCCACAGCAGCTCAGCAAAGCCCCTGCGGGCAGGCAGAGGCTAGGCGTGCTGCTAGCTGGGCGGTCCGACCTGAAAAAAAAAAAAATCAAAAAAGGCAGTAGTGCAACGGAAACTCATAAAGCTCCAACTCCCTGGGACAGAGACAGACAACAGGTGGATAAACCCACAAAAATGGGTAGAAACCAGCGTAAAAAGGAGGAAAACTCCCGAAACCAGAACACCTCTCCTCCTAAA